CATTATGTTTCTTTCCGGAAAATGCATATAACTTCCAAAGACATGCGTAATCAGCTTCATTTCTCTCGACCCGACCTTGCCTTTGTGTATTTATAAAACAGATTGCATCATAACTTATGCGATTGCTTTTAACTTGCTTGAATTTGACATTTTTTTGATTGAGTAATCACGAATCGCATCAACCAATTGGTCCTTAGTCTCGAATAAATCACCAACTCTGAAAGGGACATCATAGTCTCGAATAACTCTGAAAGGGACATCATCATCTCCTCTATGAGTTGAACTTTGGCTAATGCACATATCTTGTACTGTGGAAGAATGAATCCACTCATCATCTTCAAACTTGTAGGGGGGTGGTTCTTCGTACTCAACATATTCATTATTAATATAAGCCTCATCAGGCTAATCTAGATTCTCTTCAACATCTTCACTCACAAATTGCATGTTATCAATTGGTGTACTATTTTGATCTTCACCTTCTGTAAAACCCCAAAAATTTGTATATTTTGTGATAAATAATAATAAACATGTTATATATTTACAAATAATATTTTATGATGTTTGAGTATGCTAGGAATTAATTTGAGATTAATTCAATGTATATATGTATATATATAAGAGCAAATGCACAAATCATGCTCGAATGTATAAATCTGGAAATTTATGACCAGTGGAGAGATTTTGTATTTTACACACTGATACGTTGTGAATATGGAAAAACTTAAAAGACCAAAGTTGTATATATCTTTAGCAGCTTTCTAATAAATCTTTAATCACCTTATTCCGAGGTCATATGCGAAAGTTACAGCCAAAATACCAAAGAGTATGTTTCTAGTCAGACTGGGTTTTCCAGTTTCGGGTTTCGGGTTTTGGGCTGTAGTTTTTCTGGTTTGCTGTCATATATACACATGTTTAAACATGAAAACACCTCTTTTCTCCTATGTTCCTAACCTTAGCAGCCCCTTTTCCCCTCTCTCAAACCCTAGTTCTTTTCTTTGGCGATTTTGAGGGATTTTGGAGGATTTTTCAGCGGCTTTTGTGCAGTGTAGCGAAGGAGATTGGTTCTCTTTCATGTGGTAGAAGTCTTTTTAGCATCTGAGGTGAGTAACATCTAGCCCAACTCTGCACCCTTTTATTTTGCACGTTTTATTAAGTTTTATTTGGATTTTTCGAGCCTAAAACGTATTTTTAGTGTTTTATTTTGCACGTTTTATTAAGTTTTATTTGGATTTTTCGAGCCTAAAACGTATTTTTAGTGTACAAAAGATAGATCTTTTTTTTCGAGCCTAAAACGTATTTTTAGTGTACAAAAGATAGATCTTTATAACTTATGAAGTGAGAATACAGTATCATAATTTTCTAATTGATTATAATAGTAACCTTGACAAATTTCAGATCTGAAATTTATTAATCATAAATTAAATCACAAGTTTTTCCTTTTAAAATGTTTAAACATGTGTATATAAATGTTTAGGGTTTTGACGATATATTTACATGCTAATATTTCGTTTCATGTTGTTTCATATATGTTGATATCAGTAATATTATGCTTGGAAAATAATGATGTCACTTCTAGATTTGTTTCAAAGCAGACAGAAACCTGTGAAGGGTTTCTGCCTGTTTTAGTTGATCACCGGTACAGTTTGTGCATGTTTACTTTTGTTGTGTGCTTTAATGTGAACGAGGAGTCGCCTCAAATATTTGGCATTAGAAATTATTGTTTATTATGTATCTTCATATGTGAGATGGCTTGCGGACATGAGTTTAGATTTTCACACCGAGACACGTGTGAAATTAGTATATATGCATCCTTTTCATATATCTCATCGATATTCTACATATTTCATTCAGTCCATGTGTTGGGCAATTATTATGTGCAGTCCATGTCTTGGACATTCATCATATTCAGTCCATGTGTTGGATATTCATTATATTTAATCCATGTGTTGTACATTCATCATCCAGTCCATGTGTTGGATAATTTATATATGCAGTCCATGTGTTGGACATCCACTACACCTAGTCTTAGTCCATGCGTTGGACACCTGTTTAAACCTTGAGTATGACACTTACACTTACATAGGCTGGACATGACACTTATGTTGGTTTTGACATGACATGGTATTTGAGCTCTGAGATGGGTTAGTCTTTTTTATATTATTGTTCCTGTATTAGATCTTGGGTTTGGTACTTAGGGATTTACAATTTGAGATACAAAGGTATATACATGAGGGCTTCCTTGTTTAGATTATTTCGCTCGACGTACCTATGCTCGTGTTGTAATTTCCTAAATACTAAAATCTTCTTATTGTTAGGATCAATGATTTCATGTATATATGTATTAACTGTATTTTCTATATGCAACGAGCCCTCTCCCTTGGGGTTGGTTGTGATGTTGCTCGCTAGCGCTTTGACGCTCGTTGTCCCCTCCCATTTCAGGTAACGAGCCAGGTGCACGGAGAGTCACAGGTTGATGGCGATACTTATTAGCATCCATCTTTTATTTGTAGTTTTATTTTATTTATGGAGCTCCACTGTTGATATTTTGTTTAAACATTTGAGAGTTATGTTCTAGAACTTGTAAAGGCTGTGTGCCTTATTTTCTTTTATCAGATATTCTGTATTTGAGACTTGTTGAGATCCCCAGACTAGTTATTTTAGAGATTCACTTTATATTTTTGTATGTTGGATGATGAAATATCATTTTTATCTCTATTATTTTATCATATATCTCTTGTATTATCTTTTACTTACTTTTGTACCTACACCTGTTGTTGACTCTACTACATATATCTCTTGTATTATCTTTTACTTACTTTTGTACCTACACCTGTTGTTGACTCTACTAGAGAGATAATAATTGTGATGGTGAAACATGTTATTGCACGTTGTGGTGCATGACATGTTTGACATTCCTGGTTTTACCTTGGACTGTAGCCTTGTGTGAACCCAGGGGCGTCACACCTTCGGAGGCGTTGCTTCTTTCATCCTCTTCAATTGTTGCCCCTCTTAACAGCCTCATATTTTCATAAGAGACTTTATTGTTCATGAAGTTTGACGTTCCACCGAATGAAGGTGCACCACTATGATATTGAAATTGAGTCCACTCCATTTTACTCGAAGAAGAAATAAAACTATCAGACTCAACTCCCAAATCTAACATGCGTGAGAATTCTCCTGGAGGGTTGAATATTTTGGCACGAACTATATGGTAACTTTTCAATAAACAATTTTACCGTTGGTTACGACTTGCTCAAATTAAACATAATACTCATATGATGATCGTTTGATATCTCAACTGCGGACGTTCTATCAAAAGTTATGGGCCAATTGCATATTATTTTTAGTTCATACTCTCGTGGGTCAATTCTCGTAACTCGGTGTAATTCATTAATCAAGTCACGATAACTATATGATTCCGAGATGATTAACAACGTCGTTACCCCTCTGACGTACATTGACATATTATTCATTCCATAATTAATTTTCCCACCATAAGAGCAAGCAATAAAAATCATATTGTTCAACCTATGCAAAAGAAAATTATATCATTTAGATGTAAAAAATTTAAAAAACATTATCAATTACAACCCTAAACCCCAAATTGAAAACCAAAGATGCAAATAATCTCATATAATTTTGACCAAAAATCCTAAACCCCAAATTAAAAATCCTAAACCCTAGAATAGAGCATTCTATGCCCTAAAAGTTTAATTTTAATTACAACAATCAACACACAAAGCATTCGAACCACTACAAATACAGTTCAAATCCTAGAAATTCGTTTTTGAGAGAAAACCCTAGATTTCTACATGTTAAAAGAGGAGAGAAGGAAGAGAAATTACCCTAGAGATCTTTCACGGCGAATTTCGGCCGCAAAATGGGGTTGAAATTGAGATCGGTGGCTCCACTGTGAGAGAACGACGGTTTTGGAGAGGAGGGAGGCGGCTGGAAACAATGAGTTTGGGGGGAGAAGGGTTTGAGTTAGTTTATATAGGGAGCGAGATCCAGAATAAGTAGTCGGGGTTGGCAACCCCGACTATTTTGTGCCTTAGCTAATTTACCACTTCTTTAACTGGAGGGTGGGCACTCTCTGCTAAATGGTCGGGTTGGGAACCCTGACCATTTTGAATTAGACATTTCGAAATGGTCGAGGTTCCCAACCCGACCAATTTAAATAGGTGCTAAATTAGTCGATGTTTCAAACCCCAACTAATTAGGTTTTTAATTTGTTAGCGAGGTCCAAAATAGTCAACGTTAGCAACCCCAACTAATTAGGATCACGTTTAAAAAAAATCGACCCACTTTCTGGCCACGATGCTGACGTGACGAGAAAGTGGATTGATTTTTATAATAAAGTTTGAATATGGTCGAATTTGGGGAATAAATTTTACAATGGGTTTAATTTGAAAATCTACTTTTTTGGGTCAGATGTTAAAGAGAGAGTTAATCTAATGATGGAGGGGATGTTGGGGGCCATCTCGAGTAGAAAACAGAAGGTGGGCGGATAAATTTTTAAAACAGTCTTCTTTGGACTTTTAATAAAAAAAAGACTCATTTCTAACTTATTTTCAGAAATCGACCTGGTTTCAGCCTCAACACTGAAACCAGGTCGGTTTCTGAATTTTTTTTTTTGAAACTTCACGGAAGTTGAACTCCCGTGAAGTTTAGTAAGCTTTACTAAACTTCACGGGAGTTCAACTCTCGTGAAGTTTCATAGTTCAAAAAAAATTTGAACTATGAAACTTCACGGGAGTTGAACTCCCGTGAAGTTTAGCAAAGCTTACTAAACTTCACGGGAGTTCAACTCCCTTGAAGTTTCAGAATTTTTTTCAGAAGCCGACCTGGTTTCAACGCTGATGCTGAAACCAGGCCGGTTTCTGAAAATAAGTTAGAAATAAGTCTTTTTTTTGCGATTATTATTGTAAACAGTTTTTTTGCGATTATTATTGTAAACGGGATTGTTTTGAAAATTTGTCCGAAGGTGGGCAGGTGTTGCATCGGGGAAAGCAGAGCCAAGGAAAAAAAAAAAAACTCTCGAACCCCAACACGTTTCCATGGCTCTCTTCTCTCTCCAATCTTCTCCTCCTGCTCTTTGTCCTCCTCCTCCTTCCTCAAACAGGGGATTTCTTTTCTCCCAATTGAAGCTTCGAGCTTCCTCTTCTTCCCCTTTGTCTCCTCGCTCCAACAAGCCCCAGGTTGTGGTCACCAGAGAGCTAGGCAAGAATGCTAAGCTCATCCAATCATTGGTACGCAGAGACTCTCTCTCTCTCTCTCTCTCTCTCTCTCTCTCTCTCTCTCTCTCTCCCCGCTCTCATTGAATTTACATTCATTTTGTTGTCTTTTGTTTAGGCTAGATTTGTGATGCGTTCTCTTCGTTGAGGCAAATGGGTTCATTTTGTTATAATTTGTGGCTCATTTCGCTCAATTTCATGCTGGTTTCTTGCATTTGGATGCTGGTACCGATTTTGAGTTTCTTTGTTTTCCCCAAAGGTTCAATGTTGCTTAATATAGGGAAGTTGATAGCTTAATTAGTTCAATTTTATTTAATTTTTCTAATAGCCTTCTGTAATCAAATTTCTTCTACAACTGTAATCTACTGCAGGAATTAGGGTGTAACACGATTTGTGATGGCAAAATGGGTTATATTAATTTTGGTTTAGAAATGCAATCTTTGATTTTCTTTTTTTGTTCTTTTAGTTAAGGATTTCATGTGCACTTGTGATATTTATTTATTTTGTTATTTATAATTCTTGTGCTCTTAAGATGTTCTCTTGGTGGAGATTGAGTGGTTAAGGTTGCTTATTGCCTTAATCTAGGAACAGGGAGTTCTCTGTTGATTGAAGTAGAGTTAGGTTTCTTTCTCATGTTGCCTTTTCTTTTATTATGTACTCAATGTTGTTTTTGAGATGGTAATCTGATAAACTTTTTCATGTGATTTCCAGCATGAAAAAATTTTCCCTTTATTTTTGGGAGATATGTTAATTGTTATATACCAATTGTTTATCAAAGGAGGATAATTAGAGGAAAAAGAAAATGAAAAATCGCACAAAAATTAAAAAATATCACATGAAACTATTCTGCAAATTCTTTTTGTAAAGGTGCCCTTAGGAGGCAAAATAAGGGTTTTTTTTAAATAGGGATGGTGGGGTTGGTAATTTCCCTTTAGTAATGACTTTAATAGTCCTTAACAATGGCTGCTTGGGCAAGCGTTCCTTAGTTTCTTAGCTGTTTGACCATGCTCCCATCAGCCATGCTGATGGTTACTGGACTGTGCCAAGAGCAGACTCGAGTGCCTGACACGGGTTGTGCATCCCTGTGCCAAGAGCAGGCTCGAGTGCTGTCCTAACCTAGTATCCACCCCTACTATACCTTAAAAAATTGATAGGAAATAATTAAGAAGGATATGCTGCTGCTTCACTAAATTGGTAAGGTAGCTCACGGTGCAATTGATGGAGGATGATACCCAAATTGTTGTTGTAAACTATTGAATTGAAAGAGCAAGAGTTTATCTTCTGTTGTCTATGATGGAGAGTGCTGGAGCCATACTGAGTAGAAAACAAATGGGGCTTTTGGGTTTTGGGTGGATGGGGGTGGGTGGGTGGGTGTTGCTTTAGTGAAAAAAGCCTCACCAAAAAGTCCGAAGCCCCTCCGACACGTTTAATGGCTCTCTTTTCTCTCCTATCTCCATCTCTTCGTCATCCTTCTCCTCTTTCTTCCTCTTCTTCAAACAAGAGATGTCTCTTCTCTCAATTGAAGCTTCGAGTTTCCTCTTCTTCTCCTTCCTCATGTCCAGAGAGTGGCTCAAGAAGGAAAATCTCATCACATCATTGGTACTCTCTTCCTCGCTCCTCTCATCTTGAATTTGCCATCACTCGGTTATCTATTTTTTGCCTAAATTGATGGGGTCTCTTTTTCTTGGGACAAATAGCTTTATTTTGCTTGTGATTTGTGCTCCACTTCGTTCAGCTCTGCGTTGGTTTGTTGCATCTGAGTTCTGTTAACGGTTTTATTTCTGTTTTATTCCCAAAGTTCAAATTTTCTTATTTTAGTAAGTATATAGTTCTTAGACAAATTAGTTCCATGTGGTAATTTTTATAGTGCTAGTCTCTCTGTATTTATTGAAGGAATAAGATTAGAATGGACCATAATTGCTGATACTGAAATGAGTTATTTTCTCTATTTTCTGTCACATTGGATTGATACCCGATTCGGTTTTAGAAAATTTGTCTTGAATATCTTGTTTTATACTTCTTTTTTGTTTCAGTATATTCTGTGCAATTCTGATACTATTTTATTTATTTATTCTTCTGCTCTTATGTTGTTTTCTTCATAGAGATTTCATAGTGAAGGTTGTTTAATTTAGGAAGGGACAGTTCTTTGATTGTTGTAGTTCTTTTAGAGTTTGGTGTCGTATCTTGCCTTTTCTGCACTGTATACTCAATGTGTCTTACAAATTCTAAACTAGTCTAGAAAAAGCTAAATGTTTTGTAAAATATGGTTGGTTGTGTAGATCGAGAATTTTCCTGCTACTGTTGATGATAAAATGATTCCCTTTTCTTTCTTAAAATATTCTTAATTGAGGAAGACCAGCACTATTTAATCAGGATTTCAGTGAGGAAACTTAAGGACTAGTTTGTCTTATGCTTGTGTGAGCTTCTCCTATCATGTCTGATTAATATAAGAGAAGAGATTTGATGACAGATTATTCATATAATCTGTTTTCTGCTGATACTGCCTAAGATATATTTCTATGCTTCCAAATTTCTTCTGTTGCTCTGGGCAATAACCAACTAAGAAGTAGATTCCAGAGGTTTACTTGATGTGGCTGTGTTTGATTTGTGCCTCAGGCTGGAAAAGTGATCGTTATTGTTCTGCCATGAAAAGGTTATCACTTTGAATGTTGCTTAAACCAGGACTAGGAGTTTTCAGGATTTGGATAGTTTACTGCTCAAACCGAACTCTCTACCATGTTATTCCACTGTTTTTTATGTTTTCTGATTGTTGAGTTGATAGAAAAGCTTATGCTTGTGCTTTTAGCACTAGCTACTTATTGCTTGATTGAGCTGAAAAGTAATTAGACTTAAATTGGTTATGCTCTTCACTCACTGACTAATTCTGCTATAGGCTAAACATAAAATTCGGAGCTTGGAAGTCCCTCTTCTTAAACATACTGAAGGACCCGACTTGAGTAGACTTTCAAAACTATTGCATGGTAAGTTATGGATCTTGTTCACTTATATTATCATATTTAACTTGTGGAAATATTGCTAGCTTTCAACATGATACATTATAACATGGTGACAGCATTGCAATATTGAAAACCGAGAATAGGACCAAATCGGACACAATGTGTTTGTCTTTATGTTACAAAACTATTATGGTAAGTAATGGAACTTAATCATGTATAAAGTCCTTTGTTCATTTGCACAATATCATATCGGTTTACTCCATGACGAATTCTGTACATGGTCATCTTGTGACCTTGACAGGACATGAATGGATACCTTAACCATATATTTGGTAACTTACACACATGGTCATGTTGCTATTTGGAAAACCTAGGATAGAAGTTGGCTATCTTTATGTGTGTTTAATAAGACATTAGGTGTGCAATATTTAAAATGGAGAACCATGTTGTGAGGAGGGAGCTAGAAATTTCA